CGTTTAGCTTTTCAAAAATGGGCGGATTTTCAATAATTTTTTTAGGTCGACCGAATTGATGCCTCGCGCTCTCTCAAAGCACTAAAAAAGTCCCTGTCGTGGCCTAATTTTCTGTGCCGCAAGTAAAATTTTGAAAAAGTGGCCGAAAAGGGCATTTTTAAGCACTTTTTGGAAAAATTTGACCAAAAAATCGCATTTTTTCGGCGCGCGCTCCAACAACCCCCCCCCCCCCCCTCAAAAATAGTATATATTGGCGCTGAAGGCGCCCTTAGAAAAATTTTAAGGTCCGTCACCAAAAATGGATATCTAAAAATAGTACAAACGGGGGACACTTTGGATCGGCAGGGGGTCGAATCCCTGAGGGGGGATAGGAATCGTCCGCCCCTCACCCCCCCTAAATCCACCCCTGATTTTTATGCATATTTTTTCCTGATTTTTTCACCTATCCTACCTATCAAGAAGAATGAGTAACACGAAAAAAATACATTCAACGTAAGCTTTTCAATTTAATTTCAGTGCTGGTTTTTGATCTGAAAAAAATTGAAAAGAAACAAGACTGCTCGTATCAGGGCGAGGCCCTGAATGTTCCGACTGCCTTTTAATGTTTATGGAGCAGTAATAACATTAAAAATTAAATTAAATAAAACAAAATGAAAAAAATTTTCAAAATTTGAAACTTTTCATGAAAATCATCCCCCCACATGCCATATAAAGAACAAAAGGATAGATTTCGCTCCTTGTAACAAATCAATTACGGCATATAATCTTCTTTCAACCAATTTGGAACAATTTCCAAGACGGATTAACTCTCCGCTTACGCGTTAATAGCGCGAAATATATCGCGCGTTAATTGACCCAAGTTGGCCAAAATGGCAATCTTTAAACCCTCATAACTTTACGAAAAATGATCACAGGTGCAATATCTTTTCAAATTTAAGCTCAGGAAAACAATAGCTTTCGAATGATGTTAAAAAATTCCGTCAAAAATGGCTAGTTAAAAAGTCGAAATTTGTCTGAATAAAAAAAACCCACCCCGAGCACAAATATTCCGTTACTTTCGTATCGAAAGTCGGAACAATAATATCAGTAACAAACAAGTATTTTGGAGCAAATCTAATGGTTTTTCTTATGATCTTTTTAAAAAATTGTCGATTTTTGTTGTGAAAATACGCCAAGTAGGGTGACTTTTTTTATTCTTCGCGGGAGCCTTTAGGTTACAAAAACTTTGAGGGATCTCATGAAACTTATTGTTTGCGGTAAGCAACTCTCCTGAATTGGACTAAACTCACTCAAACCGACAAATTAAGCTTTTGAGGCTTAAAATTTTGGTTTTATGAGTTTATAAGGCAAAAAAGCGTTTTCTAAGCAATGTAATCCAACTTTAGACAATATACTCGAATTTATTCAGATTCTGCGAGATTTCATACTGGCTATATTAAAATTTTTTTACCGCAAAAATTGCGTTTTCTAGACGATAAATTCCATTTTTTACTAATTATAATCCATCTTTATGTACTGTACAAAATCCCTATATTATCCATTTTAGTGTGTGAATAAGTTAGACATAATTGATTTTTTACAAGTAGAAAAAGTATAAAAATTGGTTACAATCAAATGCAACCTTAGCTTTGCCAATGCTGTTCGGCAGTCTTCTATGGCTTCTGTGGAATACTGTACGCAAATTTTTTTTCAAGGGGGCAGAGGGACGATATTAGTTAACCCTACATTTTATTGTTACTGATTCTCAGTAGCGGATCTTATTCTTTGATGAAATTTTCCACAGCTCTTAGAGGGTCGGTAAAATTTTTCAGGGGAAATGTGGTAAAGTCGCAATTGGAACCTGATCTAAACTACATTTTATTATTGGATAAATTAGATATTTTATCACTATAAAATATTTAATATTAACCAATCATATTCCATCTAACTAACAACCCACTTATTTGTAAGTGCTGAAATTACTTGTAATTTCAGCACCAGAGAGATTTGAATTTAACTTAGAAATTAGTTACCTCTCCAAGAGAACTTCAGCAGTCGCAATAAGCCAGTATACTCTAGATCTATTGAGCCTAGCAGAGACTAGTTAAACACCCTGAGACTAGTAGATATAAGAGTAAGATTAGGATCGGTATTAGACTAAGAAGTTGCACGAATCTATCCGGCCGAAAATAAGATAGCGTGACGAGCAGACGGTGTACCCTATCCGAAATTACTCTATGAGTTATACACCCTACATCTTAACTCACAATTGCTGTAGTAGAATATAATCATGCTCGTAATTTAGCAATGGATCAGAGAGTTCTCTCAGCTCAGAGATACTCAGCTCAGCCCAATACTGACTCAACCTTCCTTTAGTTTTAAAGTAAATTTTTTTATGCTTCTTGTAGAAGCAGTTTAAATTAACTACATTGAGTACCCTTTTTCCCTCTATATACTGGTATAAAAACGTTGCAGATTGCCTTAAAAACTACAATTAGGAATTAATCATTCTAGCAGTACATATCTTTGGTGATTAGTTTCACTAAAGTAGCGTTTAACTTATATTACGATTGGCAATTTCAGGGGAAAGTGCTCGTGTTGGAAGGACGGATTGGTATTGCTTTAGAGCACTCACATATTAAAAGACAATTTCAAGAAATAAACTTGTCTAGGAAGATAAATTGCAGATAAATGAAAATAAGAGGCAAAAAATAAAAAAGGTTACAGGTTTCATCATGCGCAGAAATTGAAAAGCTCTTAAAAAATGAAAACAAAAGTAGCAGGAAATCACCATTTGTTGTTGAATTTCTCTCAAGGTCGAAATTTTGAAAAACGAAGGGCTAAGAGAACTGTTGTTTTGAATACAAAGCGACCTTTTCTACCCGTAGGGGCTCTAAGAAGAGCATAATTCCTCCTTGTTTTTGTAATTGATTTGCTAAATCATGGGTTCTGGCTATCATTCAATAACATATGATCTACAATAACATTTACTTCTCTTTGCGAAACAGTTTTAGTCATATTTATCACTACTTTTCAGGAGCGGATTTAGGAGGAGGAGGACCGACGCCTACTTCCCTCACCCCCTTCCCCCCTCCTCCCCCCTCAGCAGGTATTCCACCCCCTGCCGAAACAAAGGGTCCTCCATTTGTACTATTTTGAGATATCGGCGCCTATAATTAATAATTTTGAGGGGGGGCCGCCTCTTTGGCTTCAAAATTTTGGCTGTGGTGCAGAAAAAGTGTTCGAAACAGGGTCTATTTTGGTAGGCTCGGGAGAATTCGGAAAAGCAATTTGATCGACCTAAAAAAAGGTCGAAAAACTTTTAAAAAACTTTTGAAAATTCACCCCTCTCGAGAAAAACCTAGATCCGCCCCTGCTACTTTTTGTAATTTTTAGCATTTCATGCAGGCGCGAATCAAAAATTTCATCAATACAGTGGGGCAAGGATTTATTGAAATGCAGAAAGATAGAACTCGTTTAGTTCGACCGAGTTTTTTTTAACTCGACCAAACTGGCTTTTTAAGCTGTCTTTCAAACCATCAGCGGATAAAAAGGGAAGCGTTTTTTTAGGAATTTGACCCCTCGACTATACAAAGGGTCCACTTGAACAACTCAAAGGGATTTGCCAGTCTTTATTGTTTTATCGTGATCTGAGACGTCTGAGAATCATTTCGGTCGACCTTAAAAGAAAGGTCGACAAAATGTTCAAAAAACGTTTGATTTCAAGTTTGAATGGTTTCGTTTCTAGGTTGGATTAATAGCACAAAATATATCGCGCGTTAATTATCCCAAGTTGGACAAAGCGGCAATTTCTAAACGCCCATAACTTTACAATAAATGATCACAGCTGGAACACTTTTTTAATTTCGAGCTCAAAACAACGAATTTTTTTATCTGATATAACAAACTTTTCCTGAAAAAAAATCATGTTAGAAAGTCGAAGTTTGCTTGGAAAAATTGCATCACAAATAATCCATCAATTTCAAACAACTCAACTACAAGAGTAAAAATGCACTAAAAGCGACCAGAAAATATGCACTTATTGGTTTCATGGTACGGGAGTTGGATCCACAGTAACTGTATGACGATATATCTTCGAACGAACAGCCAGCGTGTTCTCTGAACAGTCGGAGAGTGAACAGAAAGGAGCAGGACTGTACCTTAAGCTACTTGGTATACAAAAAATTGAAATGATTTAACTTTGTGTTGGATTGAGATAGGAGGGCGGGGGAATGTTGAATGATATAACTATATGATAGTTTGATCTTAATGGCCTCGTCCGAATCAAGACAATTGACCTTCGTGGTCAAAAGTAACCATGTGAACAAATGCAATCTGAAAGTAACAAAGCATATCCGAATGAACAAGTTTGTTGAACAGTTGTCTTCTTGAGCCAACATATTAATCAAGATAAATTTTTTTCCGGCAGTTGGTCCGGACTGCTGCCTTTTCTAGCTTACTTAAGATCCTACTCTTGCCACTTGCTGATAAACAGATGAGGTCTTCTTCTTCTTATCTGTTTTAGCTGGAATATTCAGCAGAATTTTAATTTTATGACAATGGATTCGATTTGGATGAAATATAAATCAAAATAACTGATCTTCCCAGCAAGAAAAACAAAACCGCCGAAAATATCAAGCAGTACACAACCAGAGCTGAAGTCTGGTACTTATCTCGTGACCAGTGTGTCTCAAAATGAGTATGTTGCGACCATCGCTACCCAAAACTGGTATGTCATAACTTTGCACTGTGCGCGACTGAAGAGTTTTATAGAACATTTTTTGAAGATTATTAGCATGATTTTTGTAACTTGCCAGACACTCGGAGCATGTCAGTGGAATACAGTTCGAGAGAGATGCGGAGGATCAGCACTAGAAGTACTTATCTAGCCTCAATGCACAAGAGCGAATCTAACGAACGCTTTTGAAAAACCAATTTCTCAAAAAGGAGGCGAGGCAATCTGGTGATTTCAGTTTCACACGTCTAGAAAAAAATACACCTGTTAGAGTTATGGTACGTACCTTGACGACAGAAACAGTGGCGCTCAAATCACACCTCGCTTCCCCAACAAACTTCTTAGAAACATATCTGCCCTGATTGTCAAATATGGCTATGTAGTGCAGGCTGCGTTCTCTGTCCTGGTCGTAGACGAATATTCGGCTGTGAGATGCTGCCAGAGACACTGGATTTGCCAGTTCAGTGCTGCCGAAAAACTTGCCAGACACTCGGAGGATGTCGGTGGAATAGAGTTCGAGAGAGTTGCGGAGGAGCAGCACTAGTTTGCTATTGGTCGCTGCAATTCCCTAAAAACCAATATGTCATAAACTGATTAAAAAGTATGTCCAGAAAAACTTCGGCGACAATTTGAGAGGAAGCGCCGGCTCTTTTCCAGTTCCCCCCCCTTTCCCATTCAATTTTGAAAAGTCTAATTAACGTTGTCATAATGCAATGAAATTTGGCGTGGTGAACAAATCGACAATTCTGAACAAATTTGTTCTTCATACTTTGCAGCGTAAAATCACGCATTTAGCCG